AATAAAAAAATCTAAAAAAAACAAAAAAAAAAAAAAAAAAGAAATTAATATAAAAAAATATAAAGAAAATTTAAAAAAATAAAAAATAAAAACAAAATTATCAAAAACTATGAAAAAAATATAATAAAGATAATAATAAAATATATAATAAAATTTAAAAAAAAAAAAACAAAAAAATATAATAAAAAAAAATAATAGAAAAAAAAAAAACAAAAATATGCCAAAAAAAATAATAAAATTATAAAATATTAATTAAAAAAAAAAATAATAAAAAAAAGAAAAAAAAAAAAAAATTGAATACAAAAAAAAAAACAATAAATTAAAAAAATAAAAAATAAAAAAATAAAAAAAATTAAAAAATTGAAAATATAAATTAAAATAAAAAAAAGAAAATAAAATAATTAAAAATAAATAAAATAAATTAAAAAATAAAATAAAAATAAAAAAATAAAAAATATAAAAAAAAAAAATTAAAAAATAAATAAAAAATAAAAAAATAAATAATAAAAATATAATAAAAAAAAAAAATTAAAAAGTAAAATTAATAAATAATGAAAATAAAAAAAAAATAAATAAAACAATAATAATAAAAAATATATAAATATATCATAAAACATAAAAAAAAGAAAAATAATGAAAAAAAAAATAATAAAAAAATAAAAAAAAAAAATAAAAATAAAAAATTTAAAAAAAAAAATTTAAAAATAAAATAATAAAAAAAAGAAAATAAAAAAAAAAATAAAAAAAAAATAAAAAAATGAAATAAAAAAATAAATAAATAAATAAAAAAATAAAAAATTTATAAATATAATAAAAAAAAATTAAATTAAAAAAAAAAAGTTAAAAATAAGACTTAAAATTAAAAAAATAAATAAAAATAAATATAAATAAAAAATAATAAAAAAAAAACAAAAATAATACAATAAAATATAAATAAGAATAACAAAAAATAAATATGTAACATAAACAATAAAAATAGAAAAAGAATATAGCAAATTTTAAAAATAAAAAAAAAAATAAAAAATAAAAATGAATAAAAATAATGAACCAATTAATAAAAAAAATATTAAAATAAAAAAAAAAAAAAAAATAAAATAAATAAAAAAAAAAAATAATAAAAAAATATAAATATATAGACAAAAAAATAGAATAAGAAAAAAATAAAAAAATAAAATTAAAATAATATAAAAAATTAAAATAAAAAAATAAAATATAATGGATTTTAAAATAAATATAAAAATAAAAAAAATAAAAATAAAAAAATATAAAAATTAAAAATTAAAAAAAAAAAATAAAATAAATATAAAAAAGAATAAATAATTAAAATAAAATAAAACATACAAAAAAATAATATATTAAATGTACAAAAATTTAAATATAAAAAAAAATAAAAAATTAATAAAATAAAAAGAAATAAAATAAAATAAGATGAAAAAAGCAAAAAAATAAAAAAACAAAAAAAGTAAAAAGTTAATGAAAAAAAATAAAAAAATAAAAAAAAAATTATAAAAAGTTGAAAAAAAAAAGAAAAAATTTGAAAGAAAAAAATAATAAATAAAATAAATAAATAAACAAACAATAAAAATAAAAAAAATAATAAAACATTACAAAAAAAAATAATTAAAATGAGAGTAAAATATGTAATCCCCACAATCCTACCAACCAACCTCTCCCACACCCCCATCCCCGCCAGCCCAAAACACCCCCCCCCATCCACCACCCCACACAATAACCACCGGCCCACCACCACCACACCTCGAGACACACCAACTGCACCCTACCCCCCCCCCCCACCCTCACCCCCCATCCCCAACCCTCCTCGCCACACCCCCTACCCCTCCAACACATTCTAACCCCCCCCCCGCCACCCCCACCCCCACACCCATCAACCCATCCCACCCGCCCCCACCCCCCTCCACCCCACACCCCTCGCCCACCCCCCCCCCACCCCCCCCCCCCCCACCCATCCCACACCCCAAACCCCCCCCCAAACCCCCCCCCGCCCTACCTCCACCCCCCCCACCCTCCCACCCCCCTCGGCCCCACCGCGCCCCACCAGACCCCCACCCCCCCCCCTCAAACACCCCACCCCTCCCCCCCCCCCCCCACAACACCCCCCACCACCCCCCCAGCCACCCCACCACCCTCTCCCCCCACACCCCGCCCCCCACCCCCCTCCACCACTACCGACGACCCCCACCCCACCCCCCACCCCCCCCCGCCCCACCCCCCACCCACCCACCACTTAGCGCACCCCCCTCACCCCACCCCACCCCAACCAACCCTCCCGCCCCGTCCTCCTCCCATCCCATCCCACCACACCCCCCTCCCCCCCACCCCCCACCAGCCCCCCCCCCCACCCCTCCCTCCCCCTCCCAACCCTCACCCCCACACCACCACCACCCCCCCACCCAACCCCCTCCCCCCCATCCCACCCTCCCACCCCCCCCACACCATTCCCCCCCCCCCGCCCCACCACCTCCGCCCCCACCACCCACCCTCCCCACCCCCCCCTCCCCCACCCCACAAACCCCACACACCCCCCACACCCACCCCCCAGCCCCCACACCGCCATGCCACCCACCCCACCCACCTCCCACCAACCCACCACACCTTCAACCGACACACCCGCACCCCATCCCCTCCCCCCACCCCCACCCCAACCACCCCCCCCACTTCCCCCCCCCCCCCCCCGCCCCATCCCCACCCCCCCCCCGCCGCCCACCCGCCCGCCCCCCGCCTCCCATCCAACCACCGATGTCCCCACCCCCCCCACCACCTCCCAACCCCACCCACCACCCCACCCCCCCTCACCCAACCCCCAACCCCCCCCCCACCTAACCCCACCACCCTCTCCCTCCCCCCCACCCCAACCCACACACCCCCCACCCCCCAGACGGGCACCACCCAAGCCACTCCCCCCCCCAGCAACACTCCCACCAACACCCCCCCCACACCCGCCCCTTCCACGCTACCCCCCCAACCCGCCCCCCACAAACCCCCTCTCAAAACCCCTCCCGCCCCGCCGCCCCACCCCCATAGAACCCCCCCCCTCCCACCAAAAAACCCCCCACCCCACCCCCCCCCCCCCCGCCACCACCCCCCCCCCCCCACCCAAGAACCACGCCACCCAACCCCCCACCCTCATGCACCTCCACCCCCAATCCCCCACACCCCCCACCGCCTCCCCACCCCCCCCTCCCCCCGACGAGCCCCCACCTCCATCCACCACACCTCCATCAACCCTCACACACACCCCCATCCACCACCCCCACCCAACACCCCCCCACAGCAAACCACCACACCTCCCCCCGCCGCACCGCACCCACCCACCCGCCCACACAGACCCGCCCCCCCCCCCGACCCCCACCCCCACCCCCCCCACCACACCCCCCGCCCCCCCCAACCCCCACCCCCCCCCCCTCCCCCCCACCCACCCCCCCCTCTCACCCCCCCCCCCCCCAACGCGCGCCACCTCCCCATCCCTTCCCCCACTCCCTATCCACACAACACCCCCCACCCCCACACACAAGCACCACCCCGACCCCCCCCCACTCCGCACCCCCACCCCCACCCTCCCAACACCCCGCCACAAACCCTCCCCCCACCCCAAATCCACCCAAGCACCCCACCACCCAAACCCATCCCGCGCACCCCCCCCACCACCCCCCCCCCCCCTACAACCCCAACCCTCCCACCCCTCCCACCCCAATCCATCCCCCCACACCCCAACCTCCCACCCCACCCCCACACTCACCCACCACCCCCCCCCCCCACCCCCACCCCCCTGTCCCCACCCCCCCATTCCACCCACCCCCCCACCCCCCTCCCCCCACCACACCCCCCCCCACCCCTATCCACACGCCCACAAGCCCCCCCCCCCACCAACCACCCACACGACCACCCCCCCACCCCACCACCCCCCCCTCCCCCCCACCCCCCAACCACACAACCCCCCACCCCCCCCCCGCCACAACCCACCCACCCCACTCCCACCCCCCCCCCACCCCCTACAACCCCCCCCGCCCCCACCCCATCCCACTCCATCCCACGACACCACCCCACTCCCACCCCCTCCCCCCCCCGGACTCACCCCCCCCACCCCCCCACCACACCCACCACCACCCCCCCCCCACCCCCCCCACCCACCACATCCCCATCACCCCCACCCCCCCCCACCCCCCCTCCCCCACCACAATCCCCCCCACCCCCACCCCCCACCACCACACACCCCCACACACCCCCACACACCACCCGCCACCCCACCACCACCACCACCCCCCCCCCCCCCACGCCCACACCACACAGACCCCCCCACACCCGCCCCCCCCACTCTCCCCTCCCCCCCCCCCCCCCACCCCCCTGCACAAGACCCGCCCCATCACACACCCCCACACACAGCACACGACACCCGGCCCCCACCCACCTCCCCGACCCCCCAACACCCACCCCCACACCCCAACCACCCCAGCCCACCCTCCACACACCACCACCCCACCCCCCCCACCCCTACCCCGCCACCCCACATCGCACCCACATCCTCCCACATCGACACCCCCACCACGACCCCCCGCCCACCAACCCCTCACACCTACCCCCACCCCCCCCGCCCATAACCCACCCTCACCACTCCATCGGCCGCCGCCACACCCCCACCCCTACCTCCCCCCCCACCCACACCCACCCCAACCCCACCCACCCCCCCCATCCCCCACCCCCCCTCCCCGGCTCCCCAACCCTTTCACACACCCCCCACCCACCCCCGCCCCCCCCCCTACCCCCCCACACCACCCCACCCACCTCACCCCCACGCGCACCCCCCCCACCCCCCAACCCCCCCACCCGCCCCCCACCCACACCCACCCCCACCCCCCCACCCCACAACCCCCCCCCCCCCCCCGCGACCCCCCAGCCCCCCCGCCCCCCCACCACCCGACACCACACCCCCCCATCCCCCACCTCCCACCCTCGAAAGACAACCCCCATCCCCAGCCGAGCCCCTACCCCCCCCCACCCTCCCCACGCCCCCCCCCCCCACAAGCTCCCCCAACACCCACCCACCCACCACAACACCCCACCACCCCAACCTCCCCCACCACCCCACCACCATACTCCAACCCCATCCCCCACACCCCACCCACCGACCAGTCCCAGCCACCCCCCCACCCCCACACCATCCCACCGCACCTCCGCCCCCCCCCCCCCACGCCACCCCCCCCACACCCCCCAACCCGGACCCCCCTCCCCACCCCCCCCCACACGCCCCCACTCCACGCCCCCCCTTCACCCCGCAACCACCACCACCCCCCACCCACCCGCCCAACACCTCGAGAGACCACAACATACACACCCCCCCCGCCACCCCCCCCCGCCCCCCCCCACCCACACCCCACCCCCCCACCCCCACCTCCGCCATCCCCACCTCCCCCCCCCCCCCCACCCCCCCCACCACGACCACCCCCCACCCATTGCCCACTCAACATCCACCCACCACCCCCCCCCCCACCCCAACCCACCGCCACAACCCCCAACCCGCCCCACCCACCCCCCCCATCCTCCACCCCAACCCTCCCCCACCAACCCCAACCCCCCACCCACCACCCAATCCCACCCCCACACCCACCGCATCCACCCCCACCCCCCACAACCCCCCCCCCCCCCACCCCACATCCCCCCAACCCATACCCACCAACACCCACCCCCACCTCCATGCCGCCCCCACCGCCAACCCCCCCCCGCCCCCACACCAACAACACCCTCCCACCCACCCCACCACCACCCCCCCCCCCGACCCCACCCCAAACCATCCCCCCCCCCCAAGTCACCCCCCCCTCCCCACTCCCCCCATCCCCCCCTCCCCCCCTAAGGCATCCCCCCCCCCGCACCACCCACCACCGAACCACGTCGTACCACCACACGCAACCCACCACCCCCCCCCCCCCCCTACACCCCCACGCCACCGCCCCACACCACCCGCCCCCGCCCCCCCCCACCACCTAACCACCCACCCATCGCCCTCCACCCATCCCACCCCCCAACCCCCCCCCACACCCCCACATTGCGCCCCCCCCACCCCCACGATCCACCCAGCCCCTATACCCTACCCAACCCACAACCCCCCACGCCACCTCCCCCACACACACGCGACCGCCCAGCATCCCCCCCCACTCCCACACCCACCCCCACCCCCCCACTGACCCCCTCCCCCCCCCACCTCCCCACCCCCCATCACACCCCAACTCTCCCCCCGCCCCACCCCCCACACCCACTCCCCACACGCACACCCCGACACCAACCACCCAACCCACAAGCGCCCCACACCCACCCCCCTACCCGCCACCCCCTTCCCCCCCCCACACCGGCCACCCCACCCCCTCCCCCCACTCCCCCCATCAACCACCCCACTCCAATAGCCCCCACCCCCCGCGCAACGCCACACAACCACCACCACCCTACACCCACAACGGACTTAAGGAGTACAAAATAAACATACAAGTCCATTGCTTATAGGCCACCACCCTCCGTGGTGAGTAGCGAAAGTTACGCACAGTCTTGAACGCCTCTTGAAGCCTATTTAGACCACTCGCATATACGCACTATTTCGACCCCGCGCCACATATAAATCACATGAAAACAATCAGGGGCAGATTAATGCTCACCAGTGGTCCGTATGGGTCGAATCTTGTCCTATATGGCTGTTTTTACGGGCTTTGTTCTACACTTTCTTGGTGCGACGATGTGATAAGAGTTTCTCTGAGCGCACGCTCTAATTAGGTAAATAGAAGCACCTGAACCCGTGCGCGCAGTGAGCTACAATGACGCGCACGCTCCCTCAATGCGCGCTCCCGACGGGTGCGCACTACACTGATCCCCGCAACACCTCCCACTCGATCTTTCAGTTAGTTAGCATAACCGCGCAGGAAGATCGCCTAAAAAGTCTAGATGGAGGAATCAGAAGTGTCAATGTTGCTCCTCAGCTGGTATCAGGACGACCAGCCGTCGGACGTCTCTATGCAGGGTGGTGGCTTGTCTCTTGTTGTCCCCTTTAACGTTGTCTTTGGCATTTTGTGTTGGGACACAGTTGCTTGGGCATACATTCACGTATACATCCCTGACAATGCCTTTAGTGTCTGGGTTCACGCTGACGACTCTTGCCAGCTTGAATTGCCCTCGAAGTGCGTTCTGGTCGCAAAGCCACACTACATCTCCAACGGCGACGTTCCTCTCGGTTGTATGCCACTTACTGCGGATGAACAAGTTTGGTCCAGCTAGCTGGCTCCAAGATCTCCAAAATGCCTTGATTTGGTTTTGCATTTGGTTTAGTCTCTTGAAGGGGTAACTTTCAAAGTCAAATGTTCTCAGATCCCCGCTTTGAGATGCTCGACCAAGTAGCAAACTGTTAGGAGAGATGTAATGGATGCAGTCCTCGTGACTCTGGACTTGAGCATCGATTGGTCTTTCATTCGCGAGGTTGGCTGCGACTTGGAGTGCAGTAGCAAACTCACTGTATGTGAGGTTCGTGCCCCTTTCCAGACTTTGCAGCGCCCTCTTTGTGATACGCACAGCGGCCTCAGCAGCTCCATTCCGGTGTGGAGAATCCGCCGGGGTGATTTTCCATGACCAGGAGGTTCCGTTGCTCGCTGCCATCTCTTCCACAGCATTCTTGTTTTGTGTTTCCAGGAAGCTGTAAATGTCCTTAAGCACTGGCTTTGCACCAATAAAGTTTGTGCCAGGGTCTGACCAGATTTTCTTTGGATGCCCTCTTATAGCAACAAACCTTTGATACGCAAGAAGGAAACCTTCGGTTGATAAGGAGTTGGCCAGTTCCACATGGATTGCTCGACTCCACATGCAGCAAAAGACTACGCCCCAGACTTTCATTGATACCCTCTTCTTGACATCATCTTTGACCTGATAAGGTCCAAATAGATCAACGGACACAAACTCAAATGGAGCAGCGGGATGTACCCTCTCGAGAGGCAAGTCGCTCATTACTTGTTTGCAGGTCTTGGCCCTAGCTTTACGACATGTGATGCATTTATCAACAACTTTCTGGACAATGATTCGTCCTCTGACGACCCATGCTTTTCTCCTCATACGTAGCATGGTACCTGCGACTCCATCATGCGCTTCATTATGTGCCTCTCGTGCTAGGAGAGTGGAAATCCAAGCATGAAGTGGTAGGAGAGGGACCGCCTTACAGTCTTCCTTGAAGCTCTGGATGCGTCCTCCACACAATAAGAGTCCACTAGTTCGGTCCCTGTAGACAACTAGTCGGTTTGTTGTTGTGTCAGGAAAGCACACCCCTTTCTGTGCTGCGAGACAGATGTCTCTGAATGCATCTTCCCTTTCAGTGACAGAGATAACATTTGACTGTGCTGCCTCCCACTTTTCTTTTCCCTGGGTTCCGATGGACATGAACCTTCTTGCAGCTCTCCAAATCCAGGATATTGCTTTCACCAGCTTTGTAAGTGTACTGAAACGGCGTACATCCACTAGGGTCAGGATGTATTCTCCCATGGGTGGTCGACATACTTGTAACCGCGGCTGTGTCTCTTTGCTTTGGTTACGGGTAAGTGATGCAACAAATGCCTTTTTCTGTATTTCTGCAAGATTCTTTCTTGCTTGGGCCGCAACATCTCTTGCTGACTTGATGGGCCATTCCTCCTGTGGGAGACTAAGGAACAGAGGGCCTGTTTGCCATTCAGAGGCTTCTGTGAGGTCTTTGGGGCTGGCACCTCTTGTAATTATGTCTGCCACATTTGAACGTCCAGGGACCCACCACCAGTCATTGACATTGGTGCTACTTTGGATCTCCCCGACACGATTTGCAAAGAAGGTCTTGTACCCATAACTTTCGCGTTGTATTGCCCCCAAGACTGTTTGGCTGTCGACAAAGTGGTACCATTGCCCTACCTCAATACGGCAGTGCCTTTGGAAGTAGTTCTTGAGACGGGCTGCAAAGACTGCTCCGCACATTTCTGCCTTCACAGGATCTCCTTTATGATCAAGAGGGGTCAGTTTGGCTTTGGCCTCAACGAGTCTCAAGATTACCCCTTGGGGACAGTTCCAGCGTAGATACAGAACAGCACCGTATGCATGATCACTGCCATCAGAAAACGTGATGCCAATTGGCTTCAAACAGTGATTAGCTGGAGTCAGGGGTCTTGGGAAGTGAATGTGGCTTAACTCTGAGTATTCCTCTAGGAGTTTAACTGCCTGTTCCCTGAGGTCGTTTGACAAGGGGGCATCCCATGTGTTCTCTGAGCAGTACCTCACTTTTGCCTCTTGGAAAGCCTTACGGACCAGTATGGCACCCTTTTGCTTTGCTGGGGCCACTAAACCAAGGGGGTCGTACAAACCAGCAACTTGACTGAGAAGTTCTCTCCTAGTAAGTGGATCTGGTGTTTGACTCTTCACCTCTTCTTTGTTTAGATCTTGTCCAAGTCTCATTTTCTTCTTTTTCTTAGAGAAGTTTACTGCTACCATGACATGGAGCTTGTCCTCATCAACTATGTACCCAAGTCCAAGGGCTTTGTTTTCACCTTCGGTGAGTTGATTTGGTAGATTTACGATTGGCCCAATGTTCATGCTATTGGACTTAACACTCCCACCTTCCCCTGAGAAGACCCACGGTTTCATGTGAAATCCACCAGCTCTCAAGATTTCTTCAACATTGGATGTGAGGGTTCTCAACTCAGCAAGGTCATTATGAGAGGTCAAAATATCATCGACATAAGCGTCCTCTTCCACCACTCGTCTCTCTGCTTGAAAGTGACTGAATTGTGGCAGATTGGTGGTTTCGCGCATGGCGACTTGGGCTATGCATCCAGCTGGTTTGTCTCCCATGTTTACTCTGGTTACGGCATAGTCCTCGATTGCACAATCTTCAGAATCCCGCCACAAGAACCTGTGCAGGTGCACCTCTTGATCCTCTAACCAGACGGAATTGTACATTTTCCGAATGTCACCCAATGCGGCATAAGTTCCAGCTCTGAACCTTAACAGTACTGCTCGAATGGGATTTAAAACATCGGGACCCTTGACCAGCATGTCATTTAAACTGAGGCCTTTGTACTTCTGGCTACTATTCCAGACCAATCTTGCAGGCGTAGAGACAGAGTGGGGGTTGGGTGCAATAAGGTGACTTATGTACCACACTGGTCCTGTCCAACTTTCCAGTACCCCCTCTGATAACTTTATTGCAGCTTTGCGTTCGACCATTTCATGGACTTGCTCTGCATAGGCCGCTTTCCATTTGGGCTCTTTAGACAGCTGTTTCTCAGTCCTTATGAATGTTGCTTTAACCACCTTTTTGTTGTTCGGCATAGTCATTGGATCCTCCTTCCACGGGTACCTTGAGTGCCAGTGTGGCTCACTGCTGTGGTCATCTCCCTCAGCAACATATGTTAGACCATTCTTTATTATTTCCAGCTCCTTTTCTTCGGCGAGCGTGATTTCCCTTCCCCCGGGCTGGCAGTTTCCACAGCGACACCCTCCGCACTTGGGTTCACAAGCGGCTCCAATACTGTCCCATTTCCACCATTTAAGAAACTCTTTGTTTGACACAGTAGAATGAGTATGAGAAAACTGGGAAGGGTTTGAGCCAGACAGTTCACTGTAGTTAACAGCAGCAGTTCTCATTGACCTGGCGAAGTGCGTTCTCGACCTGTGGGCAGTGATAGTAGCTTCCTCGAAAAGATCAGGATGTGAGCCACCAACTGTTCTACCAAGAGGGCCATCCCAAAGCACTAGGTCACCCACTGAGCGGACTTTTTGGGGTACTAATTGACCTTCCTTGTGACTTATTAGGAGATGGATTTCCTTGGGTCTGGTGAGATTTGAGAGGGGAATGTCTGGGAATATTTGTTGAAGCTTTTTTGCCGATACATGTCTGTGGATCTCTGCGATTTTGTCCAGTCCATAGCATACGAGTTGGTGTGATTTTAGAGTGCCTTTCTTTGTGTTCACTCTGATCTTCAGAAGATAACGTTTGGTTTGTACGGTAACTTCCATACCTCCAACTCCGTGAACTACTAATCTGACGTCTTCGCTTCTCAAGTTTAGGTCTTTGGCAGCCTTGTGTGTAATATAATTGGTATCTGATGCAAGGTCAATTAATGCCCCAATTGTCTGGCCGGCGTTAGCGGTAACATTTAGCACCATCATTATAACTGGATACTCTTGTACTCCATATTCTGCCAATAGTCCACTCCTCACAGTCTTAGATGTGCTGAGGGTCCTGGATGCAACATTGCAGAATGCTTCACGGCATTGTTGGGCGAGATCTGGTGGCAGTTTGGAAAGGAAGTCCTCTTGAGTTTCAGTGCACGGTTTGCTTTCTGTCCTTTTTGTGATTATTTTTGATCCAATTGTTGGGCACAGAAGATAATGATGCGGGATCTGGTCTTTACATGCTAGATTTTTGCACAGGTAACTGGTGTCTGGGCAGAACTTTCCATCATGCATTTCGAGACATTTTGTACAGGAACCAAGCTGCTTTACTGCTTCCCTTTTCTCAGCTAGTTTGGAAGCCTTGAATTTTCGGCAGTAGTACAGTTTTTTGCTATGCTTGTTATCCCCACAAACAATGCAAGTAGTCTGCTCATTACTGGACTTTGTCATCTTAGTTCTAGCTTGTTTTACTTGGAACTTTGTTTTATCTCTGCTGGAGTCTTCTTCTCGTAGTTGTTCCAACTGCTCATATATTGACTCCTGATTTTTGAGGTACATGTGAAGTTTATCAAAGCGATTCTGAGGAGTTACTGAATTTTTCCTTTCTGCAGCATATGTGAGCCATTCCTTTTTCATAGATTCAGGGAGTTTGCTTTCGATGGATCTTGTGACTAGTGGGTTTTTCATGGCATCCACGTTGTCAAGCTCTGCCAAATCGTATAAAGCTTTTTCTACTGCCTGGATAAGTTCCACGATCCTTCTCGGCTGGTGGCCTCTGACTGGGGGTATGGACTGAAGTTCATCAACAATTTCCAGTGTTATAGCAGCCTGATTTCCATACCGATTCTCTAACACTGTGAAGATTTCATCAGCATCAGCATAGGTGGAAAGCCGCAAATCTCTGGTGACTTTATCCTCCAAGCTGTCCAACAGCTGGAACTTCCGCACTTCCTTTGATCCAGAGGGTTCTCCTTGAGTCTGAAGAGCGTCCCATTCCTTCCTCCATCGATAAAAGTCTCGTTTGATTCCGAAGAACTTTGGGAGGGGAGTGGCTTTTAGTTTTATTGTGGCAGCTGGGACAGTGTTATTGGACGACTGTGGTCTGTATTCTCCACTCGCTCTATGGCCGGCTGCGTCGATAAACAGAACTTTCTTTGAGATCAGCCGTGGCAGAGTCAATTCAAGTTCTCTCAGTCTGTTTCTGAAGTTGACTTGCTCGGTTGCAGGGCCCCACCGAATCCACTGTAGGTGGGCGTCTTTGGCTGCCTTGATAAGAGCTTCTAGGTGCTTTAGTAAGTGTTCATATGAGTCTACACTCATGTCTTTTGGAGCAGATATAAGTTGTTCACATTCCTGTTCTGCTGATTGAAATGTGATTAACATTTCACGTTCTCCAAATTCTGTCCAGAGTCTATCTTTTATTAAGTTTCTAACCTCATTTGACTTCTGCTCGTACTCCTGCTCCGTCTTTTCTATGTCAGCCTTTTCCTCTTCTGCAAGCTCTTGTGCGCCCTCTGCGTTATAAGCCGCTTGGAGTTCTTCATTGGCTTCCATGACCTTTGAGCCTTGTAGAGTGAGCTTTTTGAAGCTCTCCTTGAGTTCATCAGCGGACATGTCCACAAATTCACGTCTGACATGATTGACCATACGAGTAAAGAGTCTTTTGGCAGTTTTCCTGTCAGTCCTTAGCTCCTCTATTGGTCTGTGGTCCGCCATTTGTGTCCAGCTTGTGTCCAGCAACTTGGGACTGGTTTTCACTGTCAAGTGCACCCCGAACCATACAGCTTTCCCCACTTGACAAGGAAGGACTCTGACACCACCTTAGGCCGGTTTCACTCAGTTTATTAACAAACAGCAGGTGAAAACCTTTAAACAGAAAGTATTCATATGATTAGTAATAGAAAACATTTTAGGGATTTTTAAATATATTGTAACTCAATTTTAACATCACCATTTTAAGTGCTTTTTTCTGTTAAAGGCTATTTGCTCATTTAAATGCACACTTATCTAAATGGGTTTCGAAATCAATTGTTTTTAACTAAAGATCTCATTATAATGAATTTTAACAAATTATCATGAACTTTATTCACTGTATTTTGTAGCAAACAATATTTAGATATTTTTACATTCACATTTAACATTACAGAATATAGATTCTTTACAGGTATTTTAAACTTAAGTAATTTTTAAACAAGAATAATTGGTCTGTTTTAACCTTTTAACATTTAACTTAAATCAACTTTTATACTATAAACTATTTTAATATAATTCATTATTTTTAGCTAATAATGATAGAAACTTAAATGTAACTGCTTCATAATGGTCCAATTAGTGCAGTCCAATATTTTAACTACGTTAAGAACTAGACTACTTAAGGAGTACAAAATAAACATACAAGTCCATTGCTTATAGTCCGTGGTGAGTAGCGAAAGTTACGCACAGTCTTGAATGCCTCTTGAAGCCTATTTAGACCACTCGCATATACGCACTATTTCGACCCCGCGCCACATATAAATCACATGAAAACAATCAGGGGCAGATTAATGCTCACCAGTGGTCCGTATGGGTCGAATCTTGTCCTATATGGCTGTTTTTACGGGCTTTGTTCTACACTTTCTTGGTGCGACGATGTGATAAGAGTTTCTCTGAGCGCACGCTCTAATTAGGTAAATAGAAGCACCTGAACCCGTGCGCGCAGTGAGCTACAATGACGCGCACGCTCCCTCAATGCGCGCTCCCGACGGGTGCGCACTACACTGATCCCCGCAACAAACACCTCTACATAGAAACATAAATACATAGAAACAGTTAATGTAAAGGTATTGTGTTGAAATACATCAGTTTACAGGTAGTGCGTAAACTGGTATATAACAGTGAAGTTTTTTGAAAAAGCTGTTGCACTGAAAGAGTTTTCATTTTGATCAGCTGCTGTCTGTTTGTGCTGTTTTTCCCGTTGTGTTCTCCAGAGACATTAAAGAGCTCATTTTTCCACACCAAGTTGTCAGAGTGGTGTAACACCGGCAGTGTTCTGGACTAAGTAAGCATAAAAGTGTAATTTAAAAATACCAAGCCATTTTTTCCGTCAGTTATTTGACTTGGACTGCAGACAGACTGATTGGAGTGGTTCTTAATGACATAATAAAATCAGGGACCGTTGGAATGTGGAGAGAGCACATGGCACAAACATCACACCGTCCTGACCGTCCCCTTACAGCTCCGTTTTCATAAGCTGCAACAAATTAGCCAATTATAATCATTCCTCACTAGACCTTTGCATGCAGTACACGTCAGCAGATGAAACAACGGTGCGGACATCACTTTGCATTTCCCTCCGTTTTCATCCACACCCAAACGCTCATTTACCAAACCATCTCTTCACCGCATTCTCACCTTCACGTCGGCACATTTGAAACGACGTCAGCCGCCGGCAGATATTTGTCTAATTGAAGGAAATGTGCACACACGCGCCTGACGCACTCTAATGAGACCAGAACAAGGGCCGGCTAACGAGCAAAGCTAACAGGTGCTTCTCATCACACGTCTCCGTTTTTTCCATTAGCGAGCAGACGTCCACATTCTCAGTTTGGCTCGTTTTTTCTCATATAGGAGAGAAAACACAAGCCCGGTGAGGTGAGGGTGTCTTGGCATCGCGCTTGTCCAAGCTACAACGCATCTTTTCATCTATGCTGCTGTGTATTGCTTTTGCTCAGATTTGCACAGGTTCTTTCATTTTTAAGCATGCATATTGTGTGGTTGTGAAAACCATCTAGCCTCTGGTCCCTATAGTGGAATTGATCAAACAGGCTCCAAAAATATGCAGTTGTTTCATGATAATGAGTTTCACAGACTGCATTGTCTTCTACAGAGTCTAATGACAAAATGGTTTATACTTGAGATGATTTGCAATTTGATTCCTTAAAAAAAATGGATGGGTGGTCAAACATGAGCTGAGGTTTGTTTTACTTTGCAGAACTACGGGCCCCGTGGGCTACCCCAAAAAATGTCCCATAGAAGTCAATGTAAACCTCGGCTGACAGCGAACCTACAACTTTCATAAAGATCAGATTTTGTGGGAATTTTATTGTCCCTTGTCTTCCTGAACATTTTTTCTTCTTAAATCCTTCAGTTTTCTTTAAATCCACACTTTAATGCAACAAACTCTGCTCATTTTTTCCCTGCTCTGGCTCCGCTCTAACTCCGCACTGATCACCAGTGCTGATTGGTCAAAACACGGCCAAGCCCCTCTGTGCACGTGCATGAGAGCCCAACACGCATCATGGGAGCTCGTTCACTGCGCCGAACCGGGAGGACCAGACGATGCCCAAATATGGGGGAGTTCCGCTAACCTCTCGGTCCCCATGCATGTCCCTAGCGCTTATGAGCACAAGCCATTCATTTGAATGGGGCACCATCATGGATCGCCGGGGCTTGCTCTGCACACGCATATTGTCAACAGAGAAGAGAATAATACTGCAGTGGAAGTGAGTGATCCTGTGAGAAGAGTTAACAGTTAACATTTATAGTAAACATAGTATATTAAACAAACTCATCAAACCAAAGACCGATGCATGCAATAACCAATCAGAACACGAGTGTAATAAATTCATGGCACATTTCACTTCTACGACCGACAAGATCCGTACCTCACTCTCTGCTACTGCGCAACCTCAGATGAAGTTGCCGTTTGCAGATTCAGAAGGTGGCTTCTCTCAGTTCACCACTGCTACTGAGAGAGAAGTTGAGGAAATTGTGCGAAAAATGTGGCCCTCTTCCTGTCCCCTTGACCCACTTCCCACCCCTCTGATCAAATCCAATGCCTCTGCAATAAGCCCACTTATCACTGCCATAATAAACCAGTCCCTTCAGAGTGGCCACATCCCACCCACACTAAAAACAGCCATCATTCGTCCTCATCTTAAAAAACCATCTCTGGACCCCGACATCAGCTCTATGTGAGACTGGACCCAGCCTCTCCCTCATCCACCCCTGCTGCACTCACCTCCGGCCTGGAGGAGATAGAGGCGTGGATGTCTCAAAACTTTTTCCAGCTGAACAGCACAAAAACAGAAGCTCTCCAAATTGGTACCCCCCCCCCCACCAACTCCGTTCCCCGTCTGTAAACTGCATTCATTTCTCTGGTCATACCATCACCCCCTCCTTCTGTGTTACAAACCTTGGTGTCAGGTTTGATTCCCACCTCACTTTTCATCCACACATCCAACATATCTCCAAAACTGCTTACTTTCACTTAAGAAACATTGCCAAACTCCGCCCCTCTCTCTCCCTCTGTAATGCTGAGAAGCTGGTCCATGCCCTTATCTCCTCCAGGTTGGACTATTGAAATGCCCTCCTCGTCGGGATCCCTGGCAGAAGCCTTCAAAAGCTTCCTGACAAGGACACGTAAGTTCGACCACATCACCCCCGTCCTCCGTAAACTCCACTGGCTCCCCATACACCTCTGTGTTGAGTAGAAGATTTGTCTCCTCACTCACCAATGCATCCACAGCAACGCTCCAGAATACCTGAAAGACCTCCTCACCCTATAGTCCACATCACAATCCCTCCGGTCCACAAACACCTACCGTCTCAGTCAGCCAATCACACGCCTTCACTCCATGGGAGACAGGACTATTTCAGCCGCAACTCCACACCTGTGGAACCCTTTGCCCCAAGACCTGCGGGCGCCACAGTCTGTGGAGTGCTTCAAAAAGCACCTGATAACAGAGCTATTCAGGAAGGCCTACTGCTGATCTGCAGCCCATGTTTTTTAAATTTAATATTTGTCTGTATGTATTTTTATATTGATGTTTTGCCTTTGTTTAAACTTGCTGTAGCACCTTGAGATGTGCTTCGCATATGTAAGGTGCGTTATAAATAAAATCTATTATTATTATTATTATTATTTGAAAATTCACAAGTAGAGAAAATCTGCCACCCTATGCTCATAGCACCAGTCCCTCGCTGATCCTCCTGCAAGATGGCCACTCCGTCAGCAGTGACGCGGCCTTATTCTTTCAGTGTAAAACAGCAATGAACAGACAACACAAGTAAACAACATGGACACACAGAGCCCAGAATGTCAGCTAATGTTATAATAAACTAAATGTCCCCGCTGTTACTGCAGGATTGATTTTCCAGACGCCAGAGTTTGACTGAACCAGGACTGGGACCAAAAAACGGCCCGGGCCTTTTTGCCTCCTTGACGGCCTGGCCGATCCTTTTATCGTTTGTTATTTTTACAGTATGCAGAAGCACATACTGTAGAGGCTCAGGATATATGCAGTTAATAAACATGTCACTACAGAGTGAGGGAGACAGACATAGTACCACAACTATTGTTTGTTACAGGGTTGAGAATGGGACATTTCAAAGAAGTCTGAACGTAATGTTAGCCAATGGCTGTCATTAACCCTCCAAGGTCTAGGGTCATTTTGGGGAACCTTCCTCGCCTGGTTTTCTTTGTGTAAAATTGCTCATAAAACAGTCATTTTTTGATGCAGAGTCAAGCAGTATACTTTGTTTTTTTTCAGTACAACCTGGGGTTTTAGAATATCTATATTTTAGAGCTGTCATATCCATTATATAAAAAATTTGGAGTCATGAAGACAAAAGAAAAAATCGAAACGGAAAATCAAATTCACAAAAATGTATTGAAAAACAACAATGAAATGCTATAAACAACTTTTTAGACTCCATAGAAATGTTATTTATGGTCT